TTCCTTCCTTCCTTCCTTCCTTCCTTCCTTCCTTCCTTCCTTCCTTCTTTCCTTCCTTCCTCCCTCCCTCCCTCCTTTCTCTTTCATATCTTTTTGTTTTAAGTGTCCCCAAACACAGCAGTCCAACTAAACAATTAGAGATAAATCACTCCCTTTGGATGTTCAGCTTCAAAGATCAACTTTGATGAGAGGAAAGCAAACCCATGGCACTCTAATGCAGGGAGACAGGATTATTAAAAGTTGAGGCTGTGAGACACAGCAGCCTCAAGTCTCAGGACTTAATTCCCTTTGTGATTTTATTGATCACTCTCTTACATAAGAGACGTGTGGCAATGGGATGCATGGGATTTCCAATTATGAAGCTACCCCCCCTCTTAGAGAATTGAGTCTGTCAGGTCACCCAGTGATGATTTCTGCCCCTCTTACCCCATTAAAAAAAATGTCACTTCCCAAGGCTGATAAACACTGCTTGGTGATTGGTCCTCAATGGATCACTTTTTAGAAAATGAAATGTCAGCCCCTTGCCCTCATATTGATTCTTCCTTAGTGCCGGCCGTAAAGCTGTCAGGGGAAGCGCTTCCTGGAGCCAGGTAGCTGACAGGCCCTCGGTGGAGAATGCTCACTCAGCTGATTCTCCTCCCCACGCAGGCCGCCTGCTCTGTTATCTGGGACAGCTACATGTGTTCAACTAGGACAACAACAGGTGAGCAGAGAGGAGACAGGGACCGCAGACCTGTCAGGCCCAGGGTTTTAGCTAGGGTACAAATGACAGGTAGAAAGTCACACCCCAAAGTAGTCTCGGCCAGCAGTGTGAGAAACTCCCAGACTGAGCATCTGAGCCCATCCAGGTCCTTTGCCATCACTCACTGCCTCTTGCTTCTGAAAGCCACAGAACATTGATGTCAGAAAGGATCATTCCAGAAACCGGGCATGGTGTCATCCGGCACTGGGGAAGCTGAGGCAAGAGGTATGAGCTAGCCTGTGTCCATAGTGAAGTAGAGGTGTGGACTAGCCTGTGTCCATAGTGAAGTAGAGGTGTGGACTAGCCTGTGTCCATAGTGAAGTAGAGCCCCTGTGAGCTGAGCTGAATCACACAGGCATTGTGTTGTTGGTGTGTGAGTATGAGGTCTCTAAAGATGTAGACGAAAGAGACTCAGGAGGAAGACAAAGACCAAGAGAAAACCTGTTTCTTCCTAATTTGTTATTTGAGGAAAAACTGCCTCAGGCTCACAGTTGACATGTCGCTAGATTTTAAAATAGTGGTAGTGTTTATTTATTTTATTGTATCCACTTAATTCATGATGAAAAGTCTGAACTTGAGGTAAGCAGGATCAGCTCCAGCTTCTATCAGAAGGGTGTTTTCTTTCTTCCTTCCTTCTTCCCTTCTTCCTTTTTTCCTTCCTCCCTCCTGCCTTTCTCTCTTTGCCAACTTGAATGTGTAAGAATTTAGGAATTTCTGTCAATGAGTGAAATTACTGTATTTATAGATTTTATTTAAGTATTCAACATGTGGTCAACATTAAACACTGTCCTGGCATGCAAAGGATATTGACTGAGATATATTTTTATAACCCACATAATATCAAGTAAATAAATTAATTTATTTTATTTTATTTTTATTTATTTATTTATTTTTGAGGCAGGGTTTCTCTGTAGCTTTGAATCCTGTCCTGGAGCTAGCTCTTGTAGACCAGCCTGGCCTCAAACTCACAGAGATCCACCTGCCTCTGCCTCCCAAATGCTGGGATTAAAGGCATGCGCCACGACCGCCCGGCAAATAAATAAATTGACTTTTAATCTTTCCCATCTTTATTGATCGTGTATGTTTATGTGTGTGAAGGTCAGAGGACAAGTTGCAAAAGTCTGTTGTCTTCTCCCATGTTGGTTCTAGGGATCGAGCTCAGGTGATCGGGTTTGCCAGCAGGTGCCTTCACCCAGTACCCTGGCTGGACAGCCTCTAACTTACACTGTAGGGCATTAAAGATCTGTGCTTATGTTATCATTTCAGGAGAGTATCTGTTTTCCGGAGCACCTAACCGTCTTGCTTTGCTATAAATGTGACACCGGAATATTGTCCTAAGAGCTTTTTCCCAAGCTATGCACGTGCATTTTCTTAAGAGCAAAGCACCATTTCCCAATTTACAAGCTTATATATTAAAATATTTATTTATTATGTATACAGTGCAGGCCAGAAGAGGGTACCAAGACTCATTACAGATGGCTGTGAGCCACCATATGGTTGCTGGGGATTGAACTCAGGACCTTTGGAAGAGCAGGCAAAGCTCTTAACCACTGAGCCATCTCTCCAGCCCCCCGTGCTTATGTATTTAATGGTCCTTAGTTTAGTCACTTTCTTTACTGCTTTTTAAGCTTCTCCTTCAAAGGATTGTTCATAGTTGTATCATTAAATGCAACTTGAAACCTGTGACCTCCCAGACTAACGATGGGCTCTGTATTAAATTTCTCTGACAACCCCTTCCCCTGTGATAACAACGATTTTCTCAGTTCACCTTCAAAATCAACCAAACTGAATGAATTCAGATTGTTTTAGGCTACTCTTTTTCTCTGACAATTATTTATGTCTTTAGCATGTGTGCGTGTGTGTGCATATGTGTGTGTGTGCATGTGCACATGTATGCCACGTCACTTATGAGCAGGTCAAAGGACAACTTGCAGGAATTGGTCATATTCTCTTGCCGCAAGAGTACCAAGGATCAAACTCAGATCCCCAGGCTTGGTAGCAAGTGCCTTTACCCACTGAGTCATTGTGCTGACCCTCAATAATATTTGATTGTTCAAACATGTGAAACACTATTAAGAGAATGACTGAAATCTGTGAGGAGTCCTTGGGTTTTCTCTTTGGTTAATGAGACTTGACTTGATGACCAAATGCTTGTTCTTCTTAGGATGCCCTAACATTGTCGGCCCAGTGCTACTGGGTTTCCATTCCTGTAAGCGTTATAAAATGGCCCTTTAACCAGATTACAAAGAACCAAATCGATTTTAAAGAAAACAATTTAGCATCTGCCGAAAGATGTTTGGTATGTTTATCAGGTTCTGTGAATCAACCTGTGATCTTTGAGCAAATGACATTGAATGCACAAACCAAGTTCAGAGTCATTCTGCCTTCTACCCAAGGTTAACATGGCCCTCTTTGGAGCTGAGAGCTCTACCCGTGTCTACCTTTCCTTGTGTCCGCATGCGCTTCTCCGGAATGTTATGCTCCATAGAAATGAATACACTTCAGTGTTTGCTCAAATAGGCTGCGATGACGTCATGTGTAGTCACACAATTAGCAGGCGAATGATTCCCCGAGGAACATTTCTAAGCAATGTGCAAGCAGTCACACGGGTTCAATTCCAGCTCTATCAAAATGCTGCTGGGGAGGAGCCATCAGGCGTCTGTTGATGTGGGAACAGTGGCAGCTTGAGACGGGGAGGAAGGATGCTGGCTAGCAATCTCTGGCAAGGGTCTCTACAGGAGCCTTGCTCCTCATTGCTGCTTCATCTCTAATCTGCACTTGAGTGAATAAATTACCTACCTTTTACTAATTAACTTTGGAACAGCGAACCACATCCATCAAACCTGTCCACTTGACTGGGGAAGTTAGTATTTTGATAAAAGCGAGGTTTATGGGAGGCCCCTGCCACACTCCTGTCCTCTTATTTATTTTATTGAGTACCCAGGGTACATCGGCGGGGCGGTTTCCTGCTGTTCCCTCTGGGGATGGTTAATGCCCTTATTAGCCAGTCCCCAAGACTGCGGGGAGGATTGCATTCACTCAAAGCTTCACCTGCGGCGTGGGGCCCTTTGCCAGGACGCCCTCCATGGCAAGGTTCCATGTTTCCTTCTGGACCATTCTAAGAAACCACTCCACTACTTCCCGCTTGCTAATCGCCTTGTCCGCATCTTTGTAATTAGAAAAACTCTCACAAAGCCTTGCTTCTGCCATTCAGGTGATCTGTCTGGGATGTCAATTTAGACTTAGCCCCTCAGGAGGGCTCACCCAAAGCAAGCTTCAATGGTCTTTCTTTCCTGGGATAATAATGAACCACATTGTCCTACTCTGAGCCAAGGGGAAAGGGTCAGAGGTGACTGAGGTAGGACAGAACTTAGGCATTTTTGTTTTCAAGGTATTATTAGAGCGTTAATAGGCTGCAATTAGCCTTTGAACAGTAATCCTCGTGTTTCTTTCTCAATATCCCCTGTACCCTAGTAGGGTCCTCTACTCCAAATGACACACCACATTAGAAAGATCTTTAAGTGCGCACCTTCGCGCTCATTCAATGGCCAGTCTGAGGAAGGAATGGGAGGGCCCACCTTATCACTAATGACCTCTGCCATTTTGTATTTCCTCTGGCTTTGTCCACTTTTAATGAATGTGCTTGATGTGAAAACAGTCATGCTTCACGGTTGTTTGAGGCCACTGGTTTCTGTCGTAGGTATCCATTGTTTTGGGTTTTTTTTTTTTAAGCCAACTCTTTAATTTCAAATGGATGCCTAGAGCTTGAGGGTATGACTCGAGGGTAGAATGTGTTTCTAGCATGCACTAGATGATTCTGTGTTGGGCCTCCAGAAGGTAAATAAAGGAGGGCCTGAACTAAAGCTTTCTTCTGTGTATTTTTCCCCCTTGATTTCGCTATTGGAATTCTAAAATGGTCTAAAAGCTGGTCCTATGATTTCAGATAAGGTCTTTAGAGCTCTGATAAGACAGTCTATCAGACCCCAGGGACTTCGTCCTGGTGATTTCTTGACTCAAAATATTGTTTTTATAGCCTCTGACCTAAAGCCCTTCTGCCAGCTTCAAAAGGGGGACAAAGGACGGGGGCGGGGGGCAGGGTAGAAGGAGCTCCATGTTCCACAGAAAGTTCTTCCTGTTCACCCCATTGAATCTATTTGTTAAGCTTTTTGATGAAGCCGTTGCTTTCTAAGTGCAGTTGTATGTGGTTTGCAGACCTATGGTTGCAGTAAGCACCATTAGGGCTGGAGAGAGAGAGAGAGAGAGAGCCTCGTCAGTCGGTCAGCTGCTGACTTTGCAAGCACAAGGACCCTCGTTCAAGCCCTAGAACCCAAGTAGCACCAAATGAAAGCCAGCATGGCAATATGTATGCTGGTAATCCAGTTTGAGGGGGCAGGGACAAGGTAGACCGATAGTAAGCCCCAGGCCATAGGAAGAGAGGAAGAGACCTTATCTCAAAAAGTAGATAGTGGCTGAAGAACAATACCTAAGGTTGTAGTCTGGCATCGAAGTGAATTTGTGCGTGCATACACACACACTCACACACACACACACACACTCACAATCAATCAATCACTACCTTTGAATATACTATTAAGTCTTGTCATTTATCTTGTAACTTCATCTCTCTAGGAGAGGCACTGTGCAGGTCTGGGCTAGACCACGGCACCTATCAAATCCTGCACTTGCCAACAGGGGATGTGAGTGATTTACTCGATGGCCCTGGTTCTGAGTCCTCCTCTGTACCAGGTCCTCCTCTGTACAATGGAGCTGAACATGTGGTTTCCACCTGATTCCTTTCCTAGAATTGTTGTGAACAAGCAATTAAGTAATAGACCCTTTGAAGGCCCTTTGGAAAGTTAACTGCAAAGGAAAACACAGGCTGTTATTTGGTACCGAAATATGCACTTTGCAGTTAGCGGTGGTAGCTAGGGTCTCTGTTTTGTTAAGCTGGCTTGTGCTTTGCAAACAGTTAGGGGAGGAGATAATGTATGTAATGAGACGACTTTGAAAACTTAAATGCAATGTAAGAGCACAAGGTATCATTATTTGCGAGGGAATTATCCACGTAGAGGAACATCTGTGGGCTCCAAGGGTCTGATTGCTGAGCTGGTGCCTGTGGAGCTGACAAATGAGAGGCTGTGGGAGGAAACTGTGCGCATGTGCCCAGGGCTCTGCTGCCAGAGGTGGGCTGTCTGCCCGCTTGCTCTGCTTAGCGTTTTTGGTTTCTCTGTATTTTCTCTTCTGTGGGGTTAGCCTGCCTTTCTGCTTTTTGGAACACAAACACAGTGGCCTTGGTGAGCTTTACCTTGCCTTGGAAACTCAAAGCAATGATGAATTTCACTGGAAGTTTTACATTATGATAGAGTCATACATCAACATGTTTTATTCCCAAAGTGAAGAGATCTGTACTCATCAAATGAGTTGGTTTTCTAATTATTTTGTTTTAGGTGATATAACTTTTCCTTATTTAACATAATATATATTTAAGGGCCAGGAATGTAGTTTGCTGTAGAATGCTGGCCCAGCCTGTTCAAGGTCATGGGTTTCATTCCCAGAACCACACACATGGTCACGAAATTACATATGCATATATTTGTGTGTATGTCTTTGCTTATATATTTAAGATCTTTTTCAGTTTTCAAGTCTCGAGTTGATTTTCCAGTTTGTATAAGTGATACATATTTTCCTGACTCAAGTTTTATATGTATTAAAGATTTGTATTTTCTAAAGCTTTATAAAAACAAAAATAGCAACAAATCCTAACTCCAACAGGACATGGGCAGACAGTATGCAAACTCTGAGACTGGGTACCTCCTATCAGAAGAGAATTATACAGACCTGGTGGTCTACAAAATCTATTGAAATGTAGTTAAGTACAAAGCAAACATTTGCTTCCCAGAATGTCATTTGTATCTTGGGTACATTAGTAAGCTATAGAGTGTATCCCTTCCCCAATCCCCAGATGTGGACCTAACCTGGGGTCTTGCTCTTGGTAAGAGTTCTACCACTGGGCTAAATTCCCAACCACTGAAACCTAATGTGATAATGAGGTGTTACGATATTATCGTGATTATAGCAACAGGATGTGTTGTTCATTACCCATCACACGCTAAACATTACTGCCATTTCACTGACGAGACTTAATTAAGAATAATATGTATGCAGGGCCAGCAAGGTGGCTCAGAAGGAAAAGGCAGCTTGAGTTCTATTCCTAAAACCCACACGCCATGGGAAGGTGGAATGAAGGAACCAACTCTCCAATGTTCTTTGACTGTTCACCCATGTTTGCACACACACAGAGGTCATAGATAGACAGATAGATTAGATAGATGGATAGATAGATAGATAGATAGATAGATAGATAGATAGATAGATAGATGAACACAGATAGATGATAGATAGATGATAGATAGATAGATAGATAGATAGATAGATAGATAGATAGATAGATAGATAGATAGATAAAAGGGTTATATAGAAAAAGTAGCCAATCAGATATTCTGGGCTCTGGTGGCTTAAGCTTATAACTCCAACTCAACATGAGGTAACATTATTCTCTTATTTTGCCTCTCCCAAGCCTCAGTTTCTTATGTATGAAGTGTGCACTGCCTATCCACCCGACTTCCGTTGTGGTTGGGAAGAATTTGCTTATAGTTTTTCTTTTTTGCAAGTTTCATGTTGGAAATGATTTTCTTTTTTTAAATTTTTAATAGACGGAGTAAGTACAGCAAAGCGAAACAAGAAGCAGACGAAGAGAAACATTTGAATCAAGGTATAGAATTGGTTCCAAAAGTAATGTCATTTTTTTTTAGAGCATGCTTTGTGTTGTCTAACTTAGAAATGTCCGTTAATGGGTCTATTAATATTTGTATAATGTATGCCTTATCCAAATAATATTCTCCGAGGATGTCAAAGTGTAATTGACATGTCGAGTGAGGGTAAAGGCAGGAAGTTCTTTAGTGTCTGCTTATTGCGTCCTCTGCTCTGCAGAAGGGTTCGTCTAGCTGCCTCATTTTTGCAGCTGGGCAGCAAGAAATAATGGATAGTTATTTTTTTGATTTTTTTGTTTGTTTGTTTGTTTGTTTGCTTCTTGTTTTCGAGCCAGGGTTTCTCTTGTAGCCTTGGCTGTCCTGGAACTAGCTCTGTAGGCCAGGCTGGCCTTGAATTTACAGAGATCCACCTGCTGGGATGAAAGGTGTGCACCACCACCAGAGCAAACCAAAAAAATGGGGTGTGGCAGTGATAAAAGAGTAAGAGGTTATGTAATGGTAGTATGTGCTGCTGGGATGACAGCCATCAAAAATGTGTTAGTAGACTCTAGATGTTGCTGTTACAGATGGGCTCAAAGGAGTCAGTTCAAAGAAATTGATTTAAGTAGTTGAAAACACTTAAAAGAAGCTGGATCACCCAGCGTAACTTTTTGAGATGACAAGATAAGGCCATGTGAAAACAACTCCAACCTATTCAGTTATCCGTAAAGACCAAGGAAGAGAAAAAGAGAAAGATGGACAAGTTAGGACAGCCACGGAGGTTTGGTCAGATGGCATCGCACATGAAGTCCCCAGTGCCAAAGCAGGTAGAAAACTGTCGGTAATGCATGTTGCCAGCTGCCTCCGGGCTCACAGTCTCAACATGTTTGTGAGCATGGCACATGGGTACTTGTGTTCAGAGCACTCACACATTTGGCTAGAAGATAGCATTACCTCCTACTGAACCTCCTCTCTCAAACGGAAATCAAGTGGAGGTCCATTTAGAGTCCTTGCTCTCAAGTCAGCCAGTGGCCAGTATTCCTCCTGTGTACACTAATCTAGTTTTCATATTAGCCTGTTCATTTTTGGTCATGTATTTATTTGGTCTAGATATGGGGGAGAAGTGACACCCCATAGACAGGGCCTGTGCAATGGGAGAGCACCTATTGTCTTCAATAAAGGACAGTACTTGAAATGAGGGCTAAGACTTTCATGTTAGGACAATTGGAGCTAGGAGGCATTGGCTGCGAGAAAGGGTTCAGCCAACTCATCCTGAATTTCCTGATGAGAGATTCGCTTTTCCTCCAGGGAGGAGTTGTTTTTAAACTCTTATCCTTGAAGTGTGAGGCCATTCCAGGAAGGCAGTAGAACTGCATGCAGTGTCTTAAGCAGCTAGCAAATTCTTTGTTTACTCACTAATGGAAACCAGAACAAGAATTTAAACATTTTCATATGTCAACGGCCATATAGCTAACCCAACTGTTCCAATGTGAAGGGTTGTTGTTTTGTTTTTGCTTTTTTTTTCTAAATAGACCTTGCCCATTTATGTTTATTCGTGTTTCCTGGGATATGTCCAGCCACCTTATTTCTTGTTCATTCTGTAGGTGTTAGAACTTATGTGGATCCCTTTACATATGAAGACCCCAACCAGGCAGTTCGAGAATTTGCCAAAGAAATCGATGCATCCTGCATTAAAATCGAAAAAGTCATAGGAGTTGGTAAGTGTCTGAGTGTCTCGCCAATAAGTCAGCTTCCTTTGTGAATGTTAAATAGTTATGTAAATTACGCAATTACATTCGCATGTATGAGTGAGTGTATTGCGCGTCCGTCTATATATGTAAATATTATGCACTGAGATTTCCTCATTCAGAATGTGAATGTGATGGTCTGAAAGGAACTCTGGTACAAATTTGTACTTATTTTCATAAAAATGGGCATGGGGATAAACTAAATGAACACATAAAATCTATAGTCAGAATAGTTGGACCCAGAATGTTCTAAGTCTCACTAGGTGAAGGACTTTAGTAAAGTTTACCTTAAGCTTGAGTTTCCTATAATAAAATGAAGTCCTTAAGAATAGTGCCTACTACAGGCTTTGTGTGTGTGTGGGGGGGAGTTACTAAATAAAATAATCATTGGGGTTCACTAGCTAAGTACCTGATACAATGAAGGTTTGTTGTTTTTTTTTTTTTTTTCTTTCATCTCGAATGCGTTTCTTTCTGGCGCATCTGGGATTCTTCTCCCACAGGTGAATTTGGAGAAGTCTGCAGTGGGCGCCTCAAGGTGCCAGGCAAGAGAGAGATCTGCGTGGCTATCAAGACCCTGAAAGCTGGGTATACGGACAAGCAGAGGAGGGACTTCCTGAGCGAGGCCAGCATCATGGGCCAGTTTGACCACCCAAACATAATCCACCTGGAAGGCGTTGTCACCAAATGTACGTGGGTCATCTCCCTCTACAAAGCTAAGTCGAGAGTTACAGGGAAATTAAACACACATTTTCTTTCTAGGGAAATGACAGATGGCACGGGCCCACTGATTACTAATAGGAGGAAATCGGTGCAGTGCAGGACCAGTCATTAATCTTTCAGTCAGCTCTAAATGGTTCTGTGACTGCAGCTGATGCCCCGTCTCCGAGGCAGCTTGCGGGAGATTTGGGGGAAATTAATGCCGCAGAGTTTTGGGTACTCCACGCCATCTTTCAGATCTTTGCTAGACCAAACTGATCATCACAGGGTAGGCCCAAGCAGATGGTAAACAAAATGAATTTTATATAAAGCAAAACAAAAGCTCGCCACACCTTGTATTGGAAGCTTGGGTTTCAGATGCAGGGAGCAAAACTTGGTTATCTTTATTCTTTGTGGGGGGGGCGGGATTCGCTTGTCTGCTCGGCCTGATTTATGGCTGTGGCCGTTCGGCGCCTCTTCACAGTAACACCTGGTTGGACCCTCCCTGGTTTAGCCCATTAGCGTTCACTGAGCTTGGGAACCACGCTTCAGTTCAAGCTCGACACAGCTCAACAGATGCGTTTTGTGAAGCAATCCCTCCCTGTGTACATCTGTCCGGCTGGCTAGGACTGGCTTACAGAGTCCTGCACGGACAGAGCACCGAAGCCGCGTGTGTTTAAGGTGGCTCTGCTCCAGGAGCCCCGGTACCTAACTCCAGTTTGTACAAGTCAAGGATCTTGTAAGCCTGGGGCTCTGTCTGTGAGGCCAAGGTGTCTCTTCCTTGATTTAAGATGCCTGTGAAAAGCTTGTCACTCAACAAGTGGCAAGGATCTGGATGGCTGCTTCAGTGAGTGAGAAACGGGGCGGGGTTAGAGTGGGTTAAGTTGGAAAATGGAAACATTTATAGTAGGCCACAAAAATACAGTCTTTGGGAAGGAGAAACCAGAAGGGTGCTTTGTTTAAAAAAAAAAATAATGAAAGCAAGCACTTCAAATCTAAGTTGGCATGGGTAGCAAGATGGTTCAGGAGCCTGTAAATATGCTTGCTGCCAACCCTGTGGCCTGAGTTCAATCTTAGGAAGCCACAAGGCTGGAGGAGAGAACTTGACTCCTGAAGATTGCCCTCTGACCTTCGGAGAAGTTCTCCGTGGCATACATGCCCCCCACCCCACCCCATGACCCTAAGCAAATAAATGTAATTTTTTTTTTTCTACTAGTTTTTAGGATAGTTTCCTGGATCTCCTCTAAAGAAATTTGAATGGGCAGGGGTGGGAGTTCGGGGAGAGCCATCTAAGTTTTCATCCCTAAAGGGCTCGGTGAAGGTGATTGTACCAGTACCACGTGTCCAGGATCCATGTTAAGAATAACTGACCCGGAGATGAAGTGTTTGCTCAGTTTGCTCACACCCATATCAGAATTCTGCTGGCAGGGGCTTCGATGATTGGTCAGTCTTTAGTTTCACTGTCCTCGTCCATAAAAATGGAGATAAATAAAACTTCCCTTGCAAGGTTATTTGGGGAGAAAATAAATTATTTAGAGTGGTTTGCACAGTGGCAAATGAAACACACACACCTCTTTTAAGTGTTCACCGGTGCTCTCATGGCTGAAGGAGCACATCGTCTCTCACATTGAGAATTCTTCAAAAAAGGAAATTTGATGCTGAGGATGTATAATTTTTCTACCTCAGGTGAAGGCTGTAATTAGCATAGAATAGTTCTATTTGCTTTTTAAGATTGGTTTTACAGACAGGATATTTTTTCTGTTGCCTGTGGCCTTCGAAGCTGCCCAAGCCCCTCACTACTTTAATTAAAAGATAACATTCCCGTTAAATACTTCTGCAGGGCCCTTCTCTAGAAAAGGGGCTCTGTTCAACTCGGGTGTTTTTCCTGCCGCAGACAGTGATTTTCATAGCACCTCTGCCGAAGAGAGAAGAAACAGGGGATCTTTGTGTTAAAGTCCCACCGCGCCTTTAAAAACCCGCAGCTATTACAGCTGTAACTGTTACAAACGGCTGGGTTCATTTGCATAATGCATTTGTCGCTGAATGAGAATGATTTAAAAATTTCCACCAGAGAAGTTGTTGGGGTCCCCTCCCTTTCTGCTGTCCCCCCTCCCTCATCCCCGCCTCTTGTCGGGAAGCAGCCATCCCCCTCCCTGAGCCCACCCCAGCTCAGTTTAGAAGCCCTTCTGCGGAGAAAGGAATTCTCTTAAAGGTTCTGACGAATGGACGCTTTTAATAAACGGACAGGAGAATACTGGAGTTTGAGAAACTGGTGGAAAGGGTCGAACTAGGTAAGAGGGCCCGATCAAAATGGGCTTTCGTAACCAACCAGTTCCCAGAGAAACTATCTAGACTGAGGGGATCATAAATTCTCCCCCACTCCGCTCTCTCGGATCTTGTCCGAGAACTTCAGGGAACTAGGGAAGTGGAATTAGGTGTTAATACTTGGCTGGGACAGCCGACTTTTCCTCATTAGTTGACAAAGTATCTTTTGATAGAGCAGGATGATTAAAACTCACATAGGTGATTTTGTTGTGTCCAAGGACTTGCCGAGGGCAAATGTCCTCTGCAAAGCCCTCGCCACCTCCCGCACGACCTGAGAATGTCGCTCCTGAGGACCCTTTTCATTTCAGCAAGACCAGAAGCGACCGTTCCTCACTGGAAATCCGAATGCGGTCATTCTCTAGTTTAAAGTGCTTGCCTCCAAAATAGGCCTTAGACATGACAGGAAACACGTGCACGTGTACGCGCATGCGCACACGCACACACATAAAGCCAACAGAATAAATTGGACGTTGAAATTAAAACCTTCGAAAGTTTTGCCTCAGAAGTGAGAGCATCCCGCCACCTCCTCTCCGCCCCAAACACTGTGTCTTTTTTGTTGAGAGTATACCGGTATAGAAATAAGGAGTGCTTTTTTTGGCACTGAGATATCCCAGTCTATTTTCTGACTAATGCGCTAAGTTCAGCCAGCAAGAACAATAAAAGTAAATATTTTCATCAGTTCAGGTTTTATTTTCATCTAAGGGGATCTTTTACTCTGTACTGTTCCACATGTTCTCTTAGTGGAAAAAAAATAACAGGGTTACTGCATTTGCTGACACTCCGCCCCCCACAACCCTGCCAACAGTACCCTTACAATGAAGGAATTTCAGACCTGATTCATTGCCTGTGACTAAGAAAGTAAAGAAAGGTTATTTCCTAAGGTCCCCAGGAGAAGTAAAGTAAGACAAAAAGGTTGGGCCCCTAGGTCCCCATAGACCTTCCAACAATTTTGGTCCAATACTCTGAATTCAATCTCCTTTCTCAGATGAAATTATTTGGAGATTTTATTTGTTTATAAATAATTTATTTCTATTAAGAATTTTATACAATATGTTTTGACTATATTCGTTCTCCTCCTCCAACTCCTTCCAGATCCTTCCTACCTCCCTACCCAGTCACCTTCATGTTCATTCTTTCTCTAGGAAAAAACCAAAAAGCTTGGGAATCAAAACTAATTTAGAAAAAAGGACTTGTTTATTTGTTAAGATAAGTTGTTAAAGGAGGCAAAAAGAAGGGGTGAGAAAGGACAGAGCCAAGGACAGGAGCAAGAGAAGGGGCCAGAGCTCTAGATGGTGTGTGTTTCAGGTTGAATGTTTGAATAATGAAGTATTCAATGTTACTACATCCCTACAAAACTTAATTTCTGTAAATAAAGAAGCAGCTTTCTCTGTCCATAGACTTCAGCATGACACAAGCTGCCCTTCTGGGGATAGAATCAATGAATTATTCTAATGACTCTCTCTCTCTCTCTCTCTCTCTCTCTCTCTCTCTCTCTCACACACACACACACACACACACACACATTCCAACAGGCCTGCCCATTTATCATTTTCATCTGTTGTTTAAGAGAGCAATTATCCATTCATGTGATCCCTGGGTACCAGAGGCCACTTTTGTCAAGGACCCTGTCAACAAGCCATCCGAAGGGTTAACCTTCCAGATGGAATCTAAGCCTACTTGTCCTTTGACTATTTCATTCCTCGCTTCCCACAGCTGAGGCATAAGCTTGGCTTGTTTTAATTAAATTAGATCGCACAAGACAGGTGTCTTGGCAGTAAAATTTCGCGCGGCCCATTTTTATCTCATTAACTGCATGGCTCATCAAGGGCTTTTGTTTTTCTTTTGGAAATTCTAGGTAAACCAGTCATGATCATAACGGAGTACATGGAGAACGGCTCCTTGGATGCATTTCTCAGGGTACGTGTCTACTTTCTAATGAACCAAGGAATACCAGCAGCCAGCAACTAACAGATTCCCTGTGTACATTCTGTTCAGTTGCATTGGTGAAATTATTGTTCAGTAGGGTTCAGGAAGAGAAGCAATGGAATATGATGTGATTCTTAAGGCTATTGAATAATCCATGGGCAGTGAGGGTAGTATTTGATTTATTCGCACACCGTGGAGCTCTCTGAGCCATAGATTCATTAAACTTGGACAATCTCCATCTATCACAGGAAGTCAACCCAGCTCAGATCGTGAATTAGTGACTCTGCGCAGAAGGGCCCGGAAATAATGCCGAGTTTCATTGCGTGCCAGATACAGATATTCAGAGAGAACGCAGTAATAAATGCTTGGTGATAATTGATTTGGCCTGATGCTAATGGGGTTGTCCCTCTCTCTCTTCCTATGCAGAAGAACGACGGCCGATTTACAGTCATTCAGTTGGTGGGCATGCTCCGTGGCATTGGGTCTGGAATGAAGTATTTATCTGATATGAGCTATGTGCATCGAGACCTGGCTGCCAGGAACATCCTAGTAAATAGCAACTTGGTCTGCAAGGTGTCTGATTTTGGCATGTCCAGGGTGCTGGAGGATGATCCCGAAGCAGCCTATACTACCAGGGTAAGGACCATTTGCCACCACTGGCATGGCATCCACGCAGATGAAACTGATCCCTTCCTTGCCATTGCGATGTTGTTGGAAGTCTTCCCAATTATTGTTTTCTTCTTCAAGATTGCTTATCCTTCAGGCCCTCTCCGTATTTCCGTATGCACCTTTAAACCTCCTTTAAAACAGGAGGCCGTCTGAAGCCCACTCTAGCACAAAGCTATTTTTATAGAGCCACAAGTTACGAGCAAAATGAATTCTCTTTCTCCTATATTTTCTTGGGCAAAGTGTTCATGAACAACCAGAAGGTGTCTTTAAAACTGAGCCAGATCAGAAGCCACTATCAAGGGCAATTTACTCAACAAATGATACATTATTATGAAAATCAGCAGGTTGGATGGCTTATTGTGTATGTATGCATATATATACCGTATGCCAAATATATGTCCCTGTAACGCTAAAGTTTTCGTTTTTCTGCTTTTTTCTTTCTTTCTTCTGTACTCCCTTTCCAGCCTGAGCTTTGCTACTTGGTTCTTTTCTGTTCTTCGGGGGCGAAGTTTCTTGCCTCTAGATAAGCCATAACACTATTTCTCCTTGTTGACTAATGAATTTGGGAATGGATGTACAGACTTTATAGATCATGTCCCAATATCTAAGTTTAGTACCAATAGAAAATCCGGGATTAGGACCCAGTGAGGCGTGCTCAGGGTAGGGTCAGGATGTGTGCTCCCTTAGCCTCACGATCGGAAGCTAACATTCTGCAGGAATAAATGCACAGTCCTCAAATAATTCCGACATTCATGCAGATCATCTTCTGGCTTCCGATAACATCTTTCGTGAGCTCAGGAGATCTGTTATTGTTGTCTTCAATCTTGGAAGAGGAGAAAGGTTATAGAGGCTTCTAGAAGGATATATGTACAGAGACAGATCCCTCAGCAGAATGTTTAAGCAAAGCATTTGTGTCCATAGATAAGGTGTACAAACACAGTATATGGGGTTTGCACAGTGACCCACACAGCAGGAAAGTAACGCAGGCAATTTATTATCTGATGAGTAAGCCCTAATAAAGTCGAGACAATCTTAAATGATGGCTTCTGCAACCATGTGTGGATCTATATTCAAGTTCCTTTCTCCAGGTAGAACCTCAGAAAGTTTGAAACTTAACTGAAAGTATATATATTTTTTTACACTTTAGAGTAATCAAGAAGCATTTGAGGGTGCTTAGTGTAGTTTTGCTTTGTTTTTAGAAGACGTCTTATCTTTTTCTGGTTTATTAATTTGATTTTTTTTCATTTTAAGTAATTTAATTAAATAATAGTCTTCCCTTTGTGAAAAACATAGTTACTTTTTCGATGGACCTATTGCCTTTTTCTATGTATTGAGTATGTTTGTCACGCTAGAGAAGACTAGGGAGGCAGCGTGGTGGGTAGAAATGCCCAAATTTGGCTTCCTTTGTTCATTGTTTCTGATGCAGTGTTAAGCACTCCCTTTACAAGGGTGAAGGAGAGAATTCAGGAAGAAGGCAAACCAAATGTAAGCCGCATATCCTTTGATAGGCTCCAAATAACATATGTATTTATGTAAAACCTGAGATTTCCTTTCTATAATAGTGCCCTAAGCAACACTCAGAGAATAATTAGACAGATCATTCGTTCACTTCCCTGTGGTTAACGAACACACATGAGAATTGTCTCAACCTGGAAGACTTGACTCAAACAAGTCTGTTATTACCGAAAGTACCTCAGGAATGCGGTTGTCTCGTTTGTTTGAGTCACTACGCTCAGAAACAAAAGTGGCGGGCACATCACTGGGAACGTTAGAAAATAACCCGTAGCTGGAATCTTCGCAGGGTGGCAAGATTCCTATCCGGTGGACTGCACCAGAAGCAATTGCCTATCGTAAATTCACGTCAGCCAGTGACGTATGGAGCTACGGAATCGTTATGTGGGAAGTGATGTCATATGGAGAGAGACCATACTGGGATATGTCCAATCAAGATGTAAGTTTTGCCCTGAGATTCAGGAAGTTCTATATTACCGTGTGATTAAGTAAGCATTGGGTTTGAAATGATATCATTAAAGTCAACATTCTTAATATAAATAAATATACCTCGTGACCTCGTTCCACATTTTAACCAACAATAACTCGATTTCAAGACCAAAATTAAATTGTTTCCATGGCTTAGTGGAGGGGAAGAAAGAGATCCATGGATTTGTAGATAAACAAAGCAGAGTGTGAGGAAACACATTTCACATGTGGTAAAATTGACACAAAGGTTTTCTGGAGAGAAATCTAGAGAATATTTTAAAGCTGGCAGAGTTGTAATTAGACCTTGGCCCTCAAGGACTCTTAAATAAAGCTTCGCTAAATGACCCTCTGTAAATTATGCACGTCCCTTTAAATGTACCATCTGGACTCGTTCGTAAGGGAGCATCTACGATGCGTGCAATTTCAGAGACGCATTCAATAATGACACTAATAAGATTCCAGGCTAATAGAATTTAATTACAGACATCTCCAGTGAGAAAGGAAAAAAACAAATGCAAAACACAGAGAGTCCCAGATCAGGGCTTTCCTAGAACATGTTTTAGTTAATTCCGGAAAAAATTGGGGGATTGGAAGTGAAGTGTCCCCGCACCCATATCTTCCCAACTTTCCTAATACTTACTCGTGGTAGGACATTATAGAAGAGTGTTTACAATATAGTGCTTGGTTAATCAATTAAAATGATACTTTGGGAGTGTCATGCTCTGAGCTAGCTGAGCACTTTAAATTCCATTTTGGAAAGCTTTCCTTGACAATCTTGATTTTGATGTGGGATGCTGCCTGCCCCTGATGCCTCATCTACCTCACTCAACAGGAAACCAGAAAACCCTGACAGATGCACCCAAATAACGCAGCTTCCTAAGAACACAAGAGTGGTTGGAGCAATGGGGAAGCCACGTGTTCACATCTAAGTGTGTCTGTTGGTTGGGGGTGGGGCGTGGTTTTCCTCACTGTGTCTAACCCGTTTGAAGAAGTATGGTAGTTCCAGACATTGTGTCATTCATAAGAAAAGAGCCACAGTGGAGGGGATGAGAGACAACAGTTGGCCTGAGTCAATTACAAGGTGGACAGGGTTGGAGGTGAGGGCTTTGTAGTCCTTTGTTGGAAGGGATTATAGTTTTTCGATTTCTTCAAGTATTCTCTTTGAGCAATGTGTGGTTTCAGTCCTTCAGAGAGACAGAGGTACCCTCAATGAGCTTGGCATGCACGCGCTCACATATTGAGCTGTTTTCCTTGATAAACAAGAGAGTCCTGGTAAATGACCATCTACTAAAGAGAATGATATTCCTGCCCTACCTATTCTCACACTTAATTGTTTTGACAGTTTCTGTATTCCTGTAAAGCAATTTGACTGTTCTATGGCTTTTATTTGGGTGACTTTGAGGCCATTTCTTGCTCACAAATAATATTGCTATATCATTCATATGTGTTTGTCTCTCTGGATTTGGGGCCAGTAGGAATCATCAGGAAATGTAAGTGGCGTCATTGGGCATATGGCAAATGGAACGGGGGAAATACACCAAAATTAGTAACTTAAAAAAATGTCCCTTTTGCTCCCCCACCTGAAAGACTCAGTAGAGAGCTGAAGAACTTGCTTTATTAACCTAAGAGCTGTCTTCCTAGCTGGCCAGGGTAGGGAGCCGCCGAGAGTATTCATCACTGAGTTCTCTAGACAACAGCCCAGTGCTGTTTGCCTTCTCATCAATGGAGAAGGCTTTCATCAACTCGGAAGTCAATACCATGTACTTGGAAAGATAAAAGGAATAAAATGTTCAGATTGACCTAATATGCTTGGCAAAATTAAATGCAATGAAGGCACACAAGGCAGAGCCCTCTACCTTAGAAGAAACAGATCATTCTGATACAAGGATATATTGAAAAACATGTGGGAGATGGTCCTCTGTCCAAGGATGTCTGCTAGATTGAAGCAGTGTTCTGGGTAAGAAGACAGCAGTGAAATTTGTGCCGAGAATCTAGGTCCACTCGAGTTGACGATTTCCGACCACAGGCCAGTTTCTCAGCAGTCAGTAGCCCCTTTTGGGGTAAATCCAACATGGGTACGAGATGGCTGTGGCACTTTGTCTTTCTGGCAGCTGTCATTTGGGTAGGGGCAAAGAAAAACCAACAAAAAAAAAGGCTCAAAATACCAAACAAGTAAAAGTGCTTCCAGAATCTGAAGCTGCCCACGAATAAGTCTTATGAGTGAGAAACAGTATGAAGTAGTTCTTGGAATTTGTCAGGAGTCCGCCAAATCACCAATACAAGAGTCACGTCACAATGGGGAAGGGATTTAGGAGAAGACCAAGGAGACTGAGCCAAATGTGGTGGCTGAGGCAGGAGAATGGAGAGTGTGAGGGTAGCCGACTGAACCATATTGTTAGATCCTGTCCCTAAAAACGCGGTGCGGGGGGATGAAAGAGAGAGAAGTAACAAAGATACACGCAGTCTGTGCTGACATGCTAGAAGGGCCACATTAACGCGAAGTGGAGTGAGTCCTGTATCTACCTAAGCAGGTAGACAAACCACTCCAGGTGACCTTGAGTAATACGAAAATAGGCAACCACCACTGAAACATTCTTTGATGTATAAGGATCCCCCCTTAAAATATGAATGTTTTAGCAGGGTCATGGTAGCACACACCTTCAGTCCCAGCACTGAAGTAGAAGCAGGCGGATCTCAGAGTTCCAAGTTAGTCTGCTCTACATGGTGAACCCCAAGACAGTCGGGGCTATACAGAAACCCTGCCTCAAAAAAATAAATAAATAAATAAATAAAAAGTACTAATTAATTATTTTTTTTTAAAAAGAATTGCCTTACTATCACTTTGAATAGTCAGCATCAGATTGTGGCCATGACAGAGACTGAGTTGACATCTAAGGGTGTAGCGATCTCCTAAGAGCAAACGGCTAGTGATCTGGAGGTGGGCACTGATGCTGATAGAGTAGCTACTGAATGAGGGCACAGAGTGATGCCTAGGAATTCCAATTTGGAATTACTCCCTAGGGAGCGCCTGCAGTGGCCCTGGGTGGATCTCCCTGGGGTGGTGGCCCCGGGTGGATCTCCCTGGGGTGTGTAGGTATGCTTTTGCTGAAGAGTAGATAGAGTACAGGCAGAACTCTGCGAGGCGAAAGGGGCTGTTGCCAAAGTTCTGACACCACGCTGAGATCTAATCGGGCCCTAACCACTTCGGGCTATCAATGCGTCTTTAGTTCAAGTTTCGGATTGGCATCACGTTCCATTTGACAGCTGGCTTTTCTCTCCCCTGTCGCCAGCAATACCTGGCGCTGGCTTCTGTAGAGGAGTTGGCGCCGCGCCCATGCTTAAGCCTCTGGCAGCTTACCGCATCATCCTGTTTGTTGTCTTCTCTAGGTGATTAAAGCCATCGAGGAAGGCTACCGGCTGCCCCCGCCAATGGACTGTCCCATCGCCCTCCATCAGTTAATGCTGGACTGCTGGCAGAAAGAGAGGAGCGACAGGCCTAAGTTTGGGCAGATTGTCAACATGCTGGACAAACTCATCCGCAATCCCAACAGTTTGAAGAGGACAGGGCCAGAGAGTTCCAGGTTTGCCATGCTTACTAATAGTGATGTACGAGGGACTATATCCTATGTGGCAGGCGAGTCTGGTGTATCCTAATTCTGCCTTCGCTAATTCACAAGCCACTTCCAAGCTCTGCAACCTGGATCGTGGCGCCTTCCTCAGTCACTTTGGGTCTGAAGAGCCCGGGGGTCTATGAAAAATATGAAGGTCCCGAGGCCATTGTTCACCAGCAGGTTTCCTTGAGAGGAAAAGTTTTCCTGTCAACGGGTTTAGTAGTAGACGCCAGACTCCTCTGCTTTAGACAGAAAGGCTTGTTGGTTAGACTGTTAAGTCAAAGAGTCAGGCCTGCCTGCGTCAGGTGAGGCACCCAGTTGGCTGCAAATCTGAGCTCCTTAAAGATGTCTCTTTTCTTGTGACCCTGACTTAAAAATAAAGCATCCCTTCCATGTCTGTATGTCTGCGGCCTTTCAACTTTAGCGGACTTTTGAAGTGCTCTTCAAAGCAGTCCTAATGTCCTGGAAGGGAAGGAATATAATATTTGCTATCCCAACACAGGACAAAGGGATCCTGGAGCAGATAAGAAAGGAACCTTCTAGTCTCGGGGCTTCTAAATGCCTCCCCCTGGCCATATTGGACAAAAGGGTGATCTTCAAACTCTTGAAATAGCACGAAACATGGCTAAAATTCACTTCTTATTTGAGCGGGGACCTTGTATAACTTTATTAACTGAAGAAAGACATTTTCTGCTATGTGAGGTTTCCCCCCTATTCTTGGGTTCAAGTGACTCCCAATCCTCCTTTTGAGATTCTAGTCAGTTCCTTCAATTCCCAGGGTGAATTTTCTTTACCTGGTTAACCTTCAACTGCGTTCTGTTTGGAGGGGAGAGATGCTTGTTTAAGGCCATTCATTAGTGTTTGGTACTTCTCTTAGCATTTAGGTAGCCCTTAATAGCTCTCCAGCCACTAATATGATGTAATGCCTGTTTCACATCAAAGCCTTGAGCAGACTGAGTTACAGCATAGGCCGCTCTCAGTTCTGAACTTTTTCTTGATAATAGTACTTAAATAATGCTTGTCACTGTTGCTGATAATAGAATGTCATAGACCCTGGTACACAATGTAGCACAAAGTTAGGCAAATGTGGTGGTCTACAAAGAGAACGAAGACTGCAGAGCAAGTCCGGCAATGACCTTTGGAACCAATTGACACCGAGTGACCGTCTTTTCACCCTGGCGTTGGTTTGGATCTTGTCATGCCCTTAAAGCCCTGTCGTGAGCTTAGCTCGAAAAGACAAGTATATACAAACAAGAACAAACGCAAAACATGAGTATGTTATTAATGTGGTGATGTTATTAACGCAAAATTGGGAGAATTCGAGCTTCATTATTTTTACTGTAAACAAATGCTGCGTTTTACTAGGAAAGAATTAGACAATTGAAGTAACAGATACAAAAGGAAGGTCAGAAAGGCAAGTGTTTGAACACAAAGCTGAGTTCAAAAAAGAAGTTTTCTGCTAAAATATTTATGTGAAAGAGAAATAATGGAAGCCAAAATAATTTTGGTAAAGACGAAAAAAAATTCAAGGAATGGATTAATTCTGTATAAAGAAGTCTAGGCATTACAATAATTTTCTTTTTTATAATTTTTTTTCTTGTCCCAATCAAGGACATTATACCAACTTAAATGTTGATGCATGATCACTGATTCAGGCTTAAATGCTAAACTCAGACACAGACTTTGTACGATTTTGAGGGGAAAGAGAAGTGTAAGAAAGCTGTGTTTCTATGTAGGAAATTACAGTAGAGGGGTTATGAAATGCCTCTCCGAAGGACCAGCCTGTGGTCTTTAAGTATTCTGGAGATGACTGTAAGTCTCCTAAAAACTTGCATGGATTAGAGGTCCCTTGTGCATCTCTATCAGGAGGAAAAACAGAATGCCCGCAACCAGTCAGTCTTGACTATTGATCTAATAGTAAACACCTGGCTTGAGAATGAATAAATTAATAACTAAGTTAATAAGAAGAGCTTGGACGTTTTTGGAATGACTACTGACAGAGGAATCTGAGGCGCACATGCCACAACCCTAAGAGCAATCAAAGCGCCGTTCTTTCTGCTGGCCTTGGCACACGTGCTGGTCAGGCAGGGGTTGATTAGAGAGTGGATTAACTCCAGCTGTCCCTGGATGGTGGGAATGCACTGAGCATGTCTCCAGACCTCGCTGAGAGCATGCTGGATCTGAACTCTTCTGCTTCCAGCAAGCCTGGCAGCTTGCAAGCTCCCAGTTTTTCTCCCTCATGCTTCACTGTTTCCACAGCTCCTGAACCAATTAATGTCTGTGGTATTTGGTCCTGAGGGAAAGTGGATTCTTTCCCAAAGACTGCACAGGTTAGCAGGGCTCCCGCATCCTCTACCAAGTTAGGATGGTGAGAGATCTGCTGTGAGATTCAATGTCCAGCTCAGTCCACCTAAAATGAATGCCAAGAAAAAAAAAAAAGAGAAAAAAGCACACATTAATTTTGAATGACAGTTATCCCATTTACACCTCTTCGTTTGACCCTCTATTTCCCTGGTCTGTCCTATGCAGTCTCATCTCTTTCCGTTTATGTCTTCTCTTTCCACTTTCAGACCAAACACAGCGTTGCTGGATCCCAGCTCCCCTGAATTCTCGGCTGTAGTATCAGTGGGCGACTGGCTGCAGGCCATCAAAATGGACCGGTATAAGGATAACTTCACAGCCGCGGGGTACACCACGCTAGAAGCTGTGGTTCACATGAACCAGGAGTAAGTACTCAGCGATGTAACACCAAAGGGTAAATCTAGATTTCATAGTATTTTCCTGTTTCGCTTTGAGTTTCATAATCATTCCCTACTCATCCCAAAAAAAAAAAAAATTGAAAGCTGGAATGCCTCTCATTTAGATAGAATATAATTTTACATGACCTCTATTGTACCTGCATTGTTATATTGGATTGCTTAATGGAACATTTGTACACCTTTCTTGTACTGTATTGATTGTGGCTGATTCAAATGTGTGTCTGCATGAAGCCTTGAGAAAGAGGGTCCCGGCACCCCTGTGACGTTTTCTTTCCCTCTCTGTCTTTGACCCACCTGCAGTGACCTGGCAAGAATTGGCATCACCGCCCTCACACACCAGAATAAGATTTTAAGCAGCGTCCAGGCGATGAGAACCCAAATGCAGCAGATTCACGGCAGGATGGTCCCTGTCTGAGCCAGTACTGAATAGACTCCGAACTCTTGAAATTAGTTTACCTCATCCATGCACTTTAATTGAAGAACTGCACTTTTTTTACTTCGTCTTCGCCCTCTGAAATTAAAGGAAAAATAAAAAATACCCGCAGCGTTGCTTGGTGTATGAGATTGCTGAAACCGTGGGGCTTACGCGAATGGCCTAGATCATCAGATTTAAACCTGGAGCCAGTAATTTCTCAGAAGTACTCTTGTCCGTCGCTGGTGTATAAAATACATGTACTTAGATAGATAAAACTCTGCCTCCGAGTTTCGACGCCCGTTTTTCCCGTCCGATGCTGGATTTTGGAAGTCACCTTAATCCTTTCTGTTTGGAATTTCAACCGAAGGATTTCGTCTGTGGCGTCAACCACTGTCATCATTCGCCGCTGAGGCCCAGGAGCATTGCGGAAGGACTCAAAGGTGGCCGTCGGGGCTTGGTTCGTACCACAGAACAAAATCCAGGTGAAAGCCTCGTGACCCACCCATGTTGCCTCTTCAGTGCCCAGGACACTTGGTGGATTTCTATGACACAGGGGGCTAGAAAGAAATGGAAAGTGGATTTTTTTTCTTTTTTTAAATGCAAACTCCCAAGCCCTATTACCCCTAACTGGACAAATGAGGTCTCTTTGGGCCTGAGGCTGTGCCATGTAACGTCTTATTTGGGAATGCTACAAACCTTCTGGATAGTGGGCTGTGACAATCCTGAATGGGGAATTTTCATATTTCCCCCTGCTTTGAAGAGGCAACTTCCAAGTTTACAAGGTAAGCTAAAAGATGAGCTTTGTCTCTCTAGTAAAAATCTCTCCTTCTCTCTCTCTAACTTGATTCCATTTGAAACACAGAAAAGCTTGCATGTCAGGTGCTGGGTTGTGAGAGATTTCAGTTCTCTTTTGATAAATGAAGATACTGAAACCAACATGGCTGCCCTGTTGTTAGGGACGGTAATAAGGAAGTCACAACTGTTCCCAGCCTCACTTGACACTGACCTTTTGGTGAGTCCCCTTGAGCTAAAGCAGTGGTGTGAGGTTACTGGGTAAGACAGAAAATGCTTCTTTGTTTAAGTGACTCCCAGCAGACATTCCCAAGGCTCCTAACACTACGTCTAATATCCAGATAGTAACAAACTTGCCTGGCTTCTCAATGAATGGCCTCACATGGCAAGAGAACTGTTCATGAGGGAAACACAGCCTCTCTATGTTAAGTTCTAGAGCTTTCTTCATGAAAGCTGGTATATTATGTGGATAGATCGTTCATTCATAGATGTAAAAGGCCTAACTTTGAGCTAGGAGTTTTGTTTTAACTATTTCAGCTTTATCACTTTTAACTAAGAGTTTGGCCAGGTTTAATAACCCCTTCCCTGCCCCCCCTTTCATTTTTTCCTGAAAGCCATTTCTCAAAGACTAGAGTAAGGAATGCTGAATTTGATGCTGTCAGATGCTGACAGTTTAGTAAAGACCTGCCTTACAATGTTAGTTATAAAAAGCTTTTCTCTTCCCAAGGAATATGATTTTTTAAAAGTACTCCAACAAGTTTTGCTTTATTATTGGTTTTGCTGAAGTCTGGGATTTCTTGATTTTCCTGCAAAAAGTTGACAAATGTGGGTGGGGTTCTACTTTCTTTTTTTTGTTTTTACGTTGACTTGCTTTGTTTTACAAATAGTTTTGTTGAAGAAAAGCTCTGGAAATCTGGGGGCAGTGTTGATTTTGTTTGTTTGCTGTGTTTATTATGTGCATGCATGCATGTGTGTGGCCTGTGTCTGGAGGTTAGAGGACAACACACACAAGTTGGTTCTCTGCATGTGGGTACGAAAGATCGAATTCAGGACAGCGGGCTTGGCAATGGGCGCTCTTACTCCCAGAGCCACCTCACTGTCCGAGTACATTGTTCTTGGTTTCCACCGTCCTATTCTGATAACAAAGCAAGCATGTTGGCACTCTGCATGAAGTGAAAACAGAATAGTACCTTGCAACCAGTGTTGGATGATTAAAAGGTTTCCTTTTTTTCAAAAAGCCACCAACTTGAGGCTTGACATGTTTTTCTAAACATGGAACGTGCTCAAAGCATAACTTCACTAACAAGTGAGCAGTATTTGTAGTGTTGAAGTCCTTCTTGTTACTCCTTAGCAGGGATTGCTGTCTATGAAATAGTATGGAAGGTTACATCATTCAAAGGCCGCCTTCTGAGTAGAAGGGGTAGTTTGTGTTAGAGACAAGGCCAATAGAACGGCCAAAAAGGGATGTTCCAAGTGTCTGCAATAATACACCAGGAGCAGTAAAAGTGTTTACTGCCTCCAGAAGCCTTAGCATGAGAGCCATGAAAACAATAAGAGAGCCGTGCTGTTTCCCAGGGTACCGTGCCAGACTCTGGCATCTCGACAGCTCCGGAGTCTAAAGCCAACCGAAACGGTGACACTGGAAACTTGCCCCGCTTTGCTTCCTAACTCAGTTCCTCCACCTGTAAATTAGAGAGATAATGATACCTTGGTAATAACAGCTTTCCCGACGTGGTGGTGTGCCCTGAAAGAGGTGTCTCTAGCAGGGAGAGAGAGAGAGAGAGAGAGAGCTCCCCAGGGAGGAGTGCTTTTCTCCCATCTCATCCAGGTGACCTGCGTTCACAAATGGTTCAGCAAGCATTCACCGCTCGTGGCCCCACTGATCAAAACGTAGGTCAGGTGCTAAGGACCGGCGGAGTAATAATGCCCTTCACTTAGCTTTATAGGAGGCTGGGACGAAATATGTATCGACATGGAAGGGGACACCTGTAGAGATATTTACATACCCTCTAACTGACTCTGAAGAGAAGCACTTTTGCGTATTGAGCACATTGTGTTCTATGTGGTGTCTTAAAACCCTTTCTAGGCTACATGCCTTCATTTCTAGAATTCCCTTTAATGAAGGGACTGCCTGAACACCTACTCTGATGTTAGCTAGATGTCAACATTCATGGTCCCCTCTCAGCTTGGCTAGCCTCTTCACTTGAGCAGGTCCCGACAATGTCTGCTCTGCATTGTGAATATCGTTACATAACAGGTCTTTGTATTTCCACAATAAGTAAAGAAGTGGGTTAATGGATAGACAGTGACAGATGTAGCAGAAGAGTCTTCCCATCAGAAATGTGCCTGGGCATGGTGCAACTGTCGTGGAGATTTAAGGTCAAGTTCACATTCTCCTTGTCCTTTATATGAGCCTGTGTGGACCTGGTGCAATCTGTATATGGTCAGATTTCAAACCCTACGTTTCATAGGCTTATTGCTTTCCGGAAAGGAGGGGTTAGAAAACATGCCCGTTCCTGTTTCTTTCTTTTCCTTATTTTGCTCTTTTAATTTTCGCCTTGTCATTGTTTATGAGACAGGGTCTCATCACATAGGCTGCGCTGGCCTGGTACTTCCTAACAGACAAGGTTAGCCTCAAATTCATAGAGATCCACCTGCCTCTGCCTCCTGAATGCTGGGATTAAAAGTTTGTGCCACTATGTCCAGCTCGCTCATTTTCTCTCTGTCTCTTTCTGTCTCTGTCTCTCTCTCTCTCTTTCAAAATAATAGTTTGAATTGACAGATATGGTTGTGCATGCCTCTAATGCAAGCAGTCAGGTGGATCTAAGTTCAAGGCCAGCCGTGGTTACATAGTGAGCCCCTGTTTCAAATGATAACAGCATTAGAGTTTGGATAATTATAAACAGTCTGTGTATTGGCAAGTGAGTTGTTCCTATTAGCCCATGTACATATTAATGTACATATTAATGATACTCATCACGCGTGCTGAGCCTTGTCATTTTCTGTGAATCCAAAATGCTGTGTGTTCTGCTTCAGTTTGATATAAGTTGGTTGGCTGCTGGCTGGTAACACTGGCTGACGCTTTGTCCCTTTTCTCTACAGGGAACAGATTCTGCTATCTCAGCCTCACAGCCCTTCCTGTTGATTACAAAGCCCTTGGAAAAGAAAAAAAAAGAACACACCCTCCTTGGTTCTTCCGAACTTTTTTTCCCCCTTTGGCGTCTCTTCTGCCAGTGTTGAGGCAAAGACACTTGATGGAACACCTGTACCTGGAAAGTCGAAGAAATGGTTCAAGTCCCCTTCACCCAGGAAAGCAGCAGCCCCAAGCTCCGGCATCTGTTCTCCAGCTGCGTGGAGGAGTGCGCTGCCTCGAGGCAACAGCTCTGCAGAGCCCTTCCAAACCCCTTGTGGTTTTATTTATACGTATTTCCATAATCCATTCCCGTACGTCACTGCTGCATCGGAGTGGCGGCGAGTGACCAAATGTTACAGGTTTTTCTATGGACGCCAGGTCAGGCGCCACCGCGCAGAACAAAGCCAGTCCCGTAAGCTGCCTACGGTATGCATTGCTGAAGTGACATTTTACCCAGGGTGTGCCATTGCAGTGATATAAATATATTTTTTTCCTAGACTAAAATATGACCTGAATATCTCTTTTGATGTGTGTACATAGGTGCGTGTGTGCATGTGTGTGTGTGTGTGTGTGCGCGCGTGTGTGGTGTGTGTGTGTCCGCGCGTGTGTAACCTCATGCTTCGAACTGCCTGTGAATGTTGTGGAATGCTACCCCTGGAGAGTTCTGGTTTATCACCAGTTCAAAGATAAAAGAGTCACACGCTATATGCGGCCCGGAGACCACGGCCGTCCCCTTGGGCAGACAGCTTGGAAATGTTACATGGTCTGTATCTTTAAGAGTAATGTAGCTGTCACACTAGCCATAAGAAGCAATTCTATAGCTTTGGACAGATGTGTTTTCACCTCCGCAATGGAATGATTGTTGGATAGAAACCCACCCAAGGCGACAAGCCCGTCACCAAAATCGCAGATTCTGAGGGGACTCGTCTGACTCTCCAGTTCCACAACGGAGAGAGAAGGGGATGGAATCCATGGACTGACCCCAGATGGAGTACAAGTCGCCTTTGTTTCCCTGCATCAATGAACTTGACGAACGTGAACAAATAAATATATGCAATTCATATACTTTTGGAGATGAACTTAAAGGTGTGTGTCAGCCTTGAGATGATGTGTCTGGAGTAATACTTTGTGTCCCAGTGTCACAGAAAAATACATACATACATGCCAGTGGCTCTTGAGGTTAGTGTAGCTGGGGTGCCGTGGCCTCTAGCAATTCCAGGTTCCCCAGTTACATGTAGAAAGTTCTCCGGGAATTCATATGCAGCTAACTCCTTTTGCCCTCGAAAGTACATCAGTCTTCTAGAATCTGAGTTCTGGTGTATATCGACGATTCAGTATTGACAGGATAACGGATACCAAACTCCAGCCAGCATACTGCCATTTTACCTAACCTAAGTGGCTGCCTTGCTTATTCTGAGCTGTGGTTGCCGAAACTGTGGCCATTTATATAAGCTCTAACATCAAAATCAGGGACAAACGGGGGAAAAGAAAGATTCTGAACCATATATTGTTGAATACGTAGAGAAAAATCACCAATAAATATTTATTGCATTCTGACAGGGTGTGTGGCATTGTATTCTCATAACTATGCCAGAGTGACAAAGTCAATTCGCCCCTTTTGGGGGGACCTTAATATATTTTTAAAGGGATGTGCCTATGCATTGATGCCTGAAAAATATGTGTAAACAAAAAAATGAGGTAGAATCTCCAAGTGGATCATCTATCCCAGAGGTCGAGTGGAAGGAGAATTTCCGGGTCTGTATCCAGCCCAGGAGCCAGCACTGGTCTGCTGAGCTGGAAGGCTAAAGTCTATTCAGATCTACTAAGCAGTTTCAAGCTGCTCCCTGCACCAAATCAAGTCATTTCACCACGTGTCTGCAGGCTCCCAGTTATCTTGGCAATCTTATAAACGAACAGTTCTGGTGTGTCTAGAAGAGTGGGGAAAAAAGGTTGTGTTCACAACACAACGGATGTGTGCTCTGTGAGACCTCTTGTATTCATCTGTGAAGGGTCCGTGTATTAATCCATACACTCCTATAGCCTCAGTTATTTGTCTGAAGACACAAATTTCGACCAGTAAAGGAAAGTTCTAGAAGCAATATTTTCACTCCTTTAGCATTGTCCAAATGACATCAAGTATTGGTACATGCTGAAGAGTGCATTTATTTTGTATTACTCCAAGTTTGTTGGAATATGCAAGGACTGTGGTTATAATTAGAATGTATAAGGCATATTATAATTTAGTTCATTCATCCTGAAAAGGAAGTTAACCGAACATCTCTTGGTTCATACATGTTCCAAATTTTGAGCAACCTCTTGAGTTAGCCATAGATTTTTCTATTTTATTTCCATTTGTCAAGGTATTTTTCTTCCCTTCATGAACTTTAGGTACACATAACTTATGTCATTTATTTATGGTCTTTTATACCTAGTTTGTAAAGTTGTAAAATAGCAAACTAAATGCAAAGAGTTTGCATTTGAAAGTAATAAAGTAGTTGCCGTATACAAACCCAAAATCTGCTTGTCTTTATTATTTTATTTGTTACTTTATTTTATTTAGTGTTGCGGATGCATCCTAGGCATGAGCTAGACCCATCCTTTCTTTATTTTGAGACAGTCTTACTAAGTTGGCCAGCCAAGTCTGACATTCACCTCATAGCCCAGGCTGACCTTGAATTTGAAATCCTCAGATTGCCCGCTCCCAAGTAACTGGGATTACAACCTTATACCATACCGTTCTGCTTTTATTAGGTTTGGTTGTATCTTTTCATTATTTTTCATTAACTCAGTCTTCTTATTAACTCTTATAGCTTATATTAACCCATTATTCTGATCTATGTTAGCCATATGGCTTGGTACCTTCTTCAGCTGTCAGCTCACATGTTGCTTCTTCGGTGATCCGGGCAGGAATGGAGGAATGGACTTCCTCCTTCCTAGCCTTCTCCCGTTCTCATGGCCCCACCTATACTTCCTGTCTGATTGACCCGCCTATACTTCCTGCCTGGCCAATCAGCGTTTTATTAAAATACATGATTGACAGAATACAGATAATTCTCCCACACCATCTGGGATTATGGACTGTAGGCTGGTTTTTCTTTGCCTTATGTCTGAAAGCCACTTATGAGTGAGTACATATTATATATGCCTTTCTGGGTCTGGGTTACCTCACTCAATATGTTTTTTTTTCTAGATCCATCCACTTGCCTGCAAATTTCAAGATGTCATTTTTTTAAACCACTGAGTAGTGGTCCATTGTGTAAATGTACCACATTTTCTTTATCCAGTCTTTGGTTGAGGGACATCTAGGTTGTTTCCAGATTGCTATGACAAATAACACTGCTATGAACATAGTTGAGCTCATGTCCTTGTGGTATGACTGAGCATCCTTTGGTTATACCAAAAGTGGTATTGCCTATGCACAAAACACAAGCCCAAATGGATCAAAACCTCAATGTAAAACCAACCACACTGAACCTCATATAAGAAAGTACACTTGAATACATTGGCACAGGAGATTACTTCCTAAATATAACCCCATCAGCACAGGCACTGGGAAGCTTGAACATGAGGAATGGAACAGTCTGCCATAGCACAGGAGGGTGATGTATCTGGAAGCCCTAGGGGGAAACATCCCCTAGGAGTTAGCACATAAGCTTCTCCTTTACCCATAGACATTTCCAAAGTTCATTTCCCAAAGATTCAGGGATGAGCCCAGCTCAGCTTGGCTAGACCGTTCACATTCTCATCCTTTCTTGTCAAGTATTGCTGGATGCTGTGGAATAATCTTTTTCTCCACTGTGAATTGGTTAATAAAAGCTGACTGGTCGATAGCCAGGCAAATCATATAGGCAAGGTGATCAAATTGAGAATACAAAGAGAAAGAAGGGTGAAGTCATGGAGAGTTGCCAGGAGCTGCAGAGAACGCAGGGCATGCCAAAGGACAGGTAAAGCCACGAGCCACATGGCAGAATGTAGGTTAATAGAAATGAGTTAATTTAAAATGTAGGAGTTAGTTAGTAATAAGCCTGAGCTATTGACCAAGCATTAATAATAAGTTAAATAAGCCTCTGTGTGGTAATTTGGGAAGTGGCTCTGGGGATGGGGAAACTCCACCTACAACTGGGTCTCCTGCAGAATAGATGTCTATAACTCTCCAGCCACAACCCTCTTCACAAAGTGCCTGCCTTGTAGTCTTTTATAGTCTTAACCATTCCAACTTCCTAAGAGGAAGGAGGTGGGAGGGTAGGGAGTTCACAATTAAACCCCAGTTTCTGGCAAGAGATTTGAAGAGTATTCTCTTAAAAATAAGATACAACTAGAGTATGAAAAATCATACCAACCTAGATCCTGCACTTTCTGATGGGTAATGCTTTAAAGCCTTATTCTACGACCCCAGAAACATTGATTCAAAGCACACTCTTCAGGCTTTCGTTTATTAGGGTATTTCTGAGCATGAACTACTTATCAGACGTGGTACTCGGCTCTATTTCTATAATTCCCACCGTAGTCCCCTAAAGTAAAGCAAATGAAGAAGGGATGCTTTTTACCCCCATTGACAAGTGTGAATACTAGATGTGATGGTTAGATTAATTAGTCCAAGGCCACCTTGCTGATAACTATTTATTGGGCAATTAAACACAAGCAAAGAGCCTCTAAAACAGTGGTTCTCAACCTGTGGGTCGCAAACCCTTGGGTGTGTGTCAAAAGACCCGTTCACAAGGGTCGCTTTAGACCATTGGAAAACACAGTTATTTACATTACGATTCGTAAAAGTAGTAAATTATAGTTGGGGGTCACCACAGCATGAGGAACTGCATTAAAGGGACGCTGAGAATCACTGCTCTAAAAATTTCAGGTTGGCATTTCACCACCCTAATATATTATGTGAAGTACATAGGTTGCCCCACCCAATCTCTTTACTCTGGTGGATGAGTACATTCTAGTGTGCACACAAGAGTCCTAACCCCTCATTGCTAGCAGTGTGTGCTCCATTCACTGCACTGTTCCCGGCTATTCTGATGTTCTGTCTTTTGTCAGGTAGGCTATTTTTAATGGATTTGTCATTCTCATTCTCTCTCTCTCTTTCTCTCTCTCTCTCTCTTTCTCTCTGTCTCTCTCTTTCTCTCTCTCTCTGTCTCTGTCTCTGTCTCTCTCTCTCTCTCTCTCTCTCCCTTCCCACCCTCTCTCTGCTTTCATTGGACAAATGATAATTTGAGTATAATATTTACCTAACAAAATGTTTTGTAAGAATTAATCTCTGTAGTCTACGTTTTGCTAAAAGTTTAATCTAGCAGAGCTAAGATAATGTCATCTGATACGGAGTCAGGGTAGGGTGGGAAAAGGTGGCGATTTCCTTTAATTACCATTTTCATGTTCTGAACATAAAAGCC